TGTGAGGAGCGGAGTGTGCGTGTTGGGTGGTACTTGGATATTAGGTCGGTGATGTAGTTCGGGGCAGTATGGTGGACAGCTTTGTACCTCAGTGTTAGGATTTTGAATTTGATCAGTTGGGCAATCGGAAGCCAGTGGAGAGATTGGCAGAGGGGGGTGGCGTAAACGGAGCGGTTGGAAAGGTGAATGAGTCTGGCAGCCGTATTCAGGAGCGACTGAAGCGTGGATAGCCAGCGGCGAGGCAGGCCAGTAAGGAGGGAGTTGCAGTAATTGAGTCATGATATGATGAGGGAGTGGATGAGCTGTTTAGTGGTTTCTGGGGTTAGGAACGTGCGTATTTTGGTGATGTTACGGAGGTGGAGTCTGCATGAGTTTGTTAAAGATTGGACTTGGGGCTGGAAGGATAGGTTGGAGTCCAGAATGGCACCAAGTACTCTGGCCTGCGGGGCGGGTTTGATGGTGGCATTGTTGGACATGATGGAGAAATCAAGGGGGGGTGGTGTGCGGGCTGGGGGGAAGACAAGAAACTCGGTTTTGGAGAGGTTCAGTTTAAGGAAGTGGAGTGACATCCAGTCTGATATGTCGCTCAGTATGTGTGTGATATATATATATAGTGTATATCCTCCATAAAACACCATGTGCCTGCTTTTTAATTTGTTTCTGTCCCCCCCTATGCAGATGGCCTGTCTCCTACTATCACAGGGATTACAGCAGCTTTCTTTCACCTATAGAGTTTTGTTTTTCTGTGATTTTTAGGTAAGCACGTGAAATCATTAGCTTCAGAGAAAAAAGTCAAGAGTATTGATAGATAAGGGGTAAGGGTTGAAGGGGTAAAGGGGAGGAAGAAAAGGGTAGTAGAACTTTGCATCTGACATCTATAACACAAGAACAGATTTTCTTAGTTGATTGCACAGTACATGCCTGGCATTAGAGATATATTGTGAAGACTTTGGAGAATATGACGTGCACCCATGGAGACCATGTGATTACAAAAGCACTATTGGTATTTCTGTCTCAGGACAGCATTTTTTCCATCTGATTGATGGAGCTCAGTTCACACGCCAACCCCTAAAGCTGAGGGGTGGCCACATTGTGCCAGGACCTATCACTAAAAACGTGAACAATAGTGAAGAAGGCTCATTTTGTTTATAATATCCTGGTATTATAAAGAGCAAAGTGATTCAGGAGGTATTGAACACAATCTTATGAGTTACTTTTGTGGAGATTGTAAGTATTTTATCCCTGTAAGGTTTTATTAGGGGACAAGGGATCCAAATGTGTGACATTATCTCAGGTGCTGATAGGCTTCTCCAGCATTTAAGGGATAAAGGGGTCAAATTTATGGAAGATCACTGGTCATTGATATCATCTGGGTAAGATCTTATAATTGCGTTGCTGAAATCTGGAAGATACAGACATTTTGTGAGTCAAAATGAAGCAGTTTCTCAAAATCTGTATGGGGTTTGGTGGTGAGTGAGTTTAGTGATGTTGGAGATTGTAGGTAATGTGAAAATTGGTAGTGTTCAGTAATCAATTGATTATGGCATAAGGAAAGTAGTTTGCTCATTGGAAGTAGTTGGCCAATAGTGATATTGTCTGTTCTAAGCCACTTAAAAAGTGGCGGGAAAGCACAAGGTTTCCAAACAAATTGGTCAGAGAGCTAGAATATGTGGCCAAAAGACCTTTGATAAGTAGGTATCCCAGGTATGTATGGTAGTTTGTGTTGTTGAGGATAAGGTGTTTTTATTTGGGGAAAGGACTGAGGGTGTCAATGAAAAGGGACAAGACTCATGGTTGTGAGATCTTCTTGTATTTTGACTCAAAGTTTAGTAATTTTGCTATGAAACCAATCTGTAATTCCGATTAGGGATGCTGCTGGAGGTAAAGAAAAATGTCCAGCAGAGTGACTCCTCCTCTATGTTTTGGTAGCTTTAAGATGTCTCTATGGATTCTGGAGTTTTTGTGTCCCCAGAAAAAGGTCCAAATCAAGTGAATGAGTTGAGAAAGTGGGCCAGACAGAGAAGTGGTCGGGATAGATTAAAAAGTAAAAAAAAAGGATTTGGGCTTTATGTCCATTTATTTATGCTGATGCACCAAAACCAAGCATTTCTCATATGATTGTAGGCATGTGTAGCACAAACAATGCAAGGTTAAAGGATATATATTTACCAAGGTATGTAATTCGTTTCCCTTGCCAGTGGGAGGGGAAATCAGATTTCAAAAGGATATGTCTTGGGGCAATAGAGAGATATTCAGGCCTTCCTTTTTTATTGTACTTGACCTAAAAGTTGCTTAGGAAACTAAATCTGTTTACAGATTCTACAGGTTCTTGCCATATGCTGTAGTGATAATTTGGAGCAATGGTCAAAAGTCTGAGTCCTAGATACTGTATGTTGGGTTTATTACATAGCATGTTAGCTAGATGCTACACTCTAAGGATATAGAGCAAGGGGGATAGAGGGCAAGCCTGATCAGTACCACTCTGGATATGTAGAGACTCTGACAAAATACTATTATCAAAAAAGTATTTAGATTAGTAAAGTCTGAAGGAAATCAGAGCTCCTTATCTTCCTACTTGTTCTAAGTCAGTATATCAAAGTATTGAAGGCAGAGCGTCAGAATGACAACCAAGCAGTTAGCATTTGCAGAAATGTCATCAATGGCAGCCTCCATGTTTTCTTCAGAAAAGGTTTCCTTTAACTGTTTTTAAACTAATTTATTTCTAGTGATGCTCTTGCTGTTCCACATCAGTGGAGCTAACTTAGACAGACAAAGAAAACCAGAGCAAAAGTAGAGCATTTGCTCAAAGCAACTAGAAAAGGTTGATCTTTTTAAATGACACAAGGAATATATTGATTGATCTGGACAAATGATCCAAAATTGTTCCAAACTATCCTTCTTAACAGTGTACAAAACATTCACATTTACAATAATCACATATAAACACAATCCCATAATGCCACCACATTATAATTTAAAACGGTTGCTTGTGTATTTAGTGAAGGATACTGTCTTGCATCTTTTGGAGTTTTTTGGTGTGACATCTGCACGTGGCTCTTCTTTGTCTGCACATCTGCTATAGCCATTATTAGGGGGTCCCACTTTCCCTACTGGATTATTTATTTATACTATTGGGAAATACAACAGGAGGAGCTGAGACACAGAAAGATGGACATAAACATCCTATAATCCCAAACAGACAGGAACAGAGCTAGATTTATGACTCAGTATTGCAGTATCCATTATTGGATGCATTATTGGAATCCATCTTTAGATCTTTATTTTATGTCTTATCATTCTATTGGTACTTGCCACATATTTTATCCCTTACTTACGTTTTTTCATCTCCTTTTATAAACTAAGCAATGGTAGCTGAAATGGTGTTTCACCGCAGGTTTTTTTTTTATTACATTAACAGTAAAAACTGGTTATAATGAAGCTAAATATGAATAATGTATGTTTTTTTTCTGACTGTAATTAGAGACTCTCATTAGTAAGTCAGGGGGAGGTTTTATTCTTGAGAGCTCATTACCTAAATTCTACCCCACGAGGGGGCTGATTGCATGAGTCACATTGCCCCGTAGGGTGTCTGAAGAACAGGGAGTAAGTGGGACATTCAGTTATACATCTGGAAAATCCACAGTTCTGTGTCCACAGTTTGGAAATGCAAGAATAAATTACATGTTTTTGGCAAGTTTCAACACCAATTTTTTTTCAAGCATCTTTTCTAAGTAAAGTATAACTTAGTTCACAATTTTCATGCTTTCTGCAAACCCATCTTACAGCCCTGAAACTTACAAACAGATACAAGAGATTGTATGCTCATAAAAAAATCATCATTAATCAGCAGGGAAAAGCACTATTCTTGTTGTATACCTTATAAGATTAACTTTATTCAGAATTTGCAATTTTAGGATTTGAGACCTATGCTAGTATGGATGGTTGCTGTAAAATTCTCAGGCATAGACCTAAGCAACGTATGTTTCAGAAACATGTAAACAGGTTCTTTTGTACACTCGATCAGAGCTGGTTTCTAAAAGCAATAAAAAGAATGAAAATATAATAAATAACTTATAGCAAAAAATATCAGGTAAAAAAAAAATTGGCTAGACAGCAATAACTGTTAGAAACCAGTAATGGTCAACAGTTACTAATAGGGAACTCAGATAAATGTATGTTGCATGTATTATTTGAGATCATAGCAAAGAACAACATTATTTTGCATATTTTGCATTGTTTGATTATTTTGTACTAAAGATGGTTCTGGTCGTCTTTGTATTGTGAAAACATCTTCCTGGAACATGTCCATATATCTGTACCGTGGATCTTCCATCCAAAATATTATATTTATATAATGTAATATCTTTTCACTTTTGTCAATTTCTGTAAATGGTTTTTCATATTTTTGTAATAAGGAAAGAAAGTAAAAATGATGTAAACAACCAATTTGCTGATAAATTGAGATGTTGGAATTGATTTTTCGATAATAACCTTGTTTCATTAGGATTCGAGTCTTATTTGAATGAAATTTAAGCAATACTTCAGTAACAATCAAATGAATATAAGTTTACTTTGAATTATGGAATACAAAAGTAAAATTCCAAGTAAGATTTATTCAATATCTCAATGAACACAAGAACAATTTCCAAATTTTTGACAAAACTGCATTTCATAGAACATTTGTTTAGCTCATTACATGAAAGTAAGGTAAAGAATATAACTTAGGTTACAAAATCTTAAGTTTTACTCAAAATTAGTTGATGCAAAAATGAACATACCCCACAACAAAAACTACTACACCTAGTATTTTGTATGGCCTCCATGATTTGTAAGGACAGCATCAAGTCTTCTAGACATGGAATGAACAAATTGTCGACATATTGCAACATCTGTCTTTTTCCATTCTTCAAGAACGACCTCTTTTATAGCCTGGATGCTGGACAGAGAGTTCAGATCAGGAGACATATTTGGCCACTGAATCACTATAACCCTGTTCTTCTTCAGAAATGCAACAGTGGCCTTAGATGTGTGTTTTGGATCATTGTTGTCATGTTGGAAAAGTGCACAAAGGCTCAGGACATGGAGTGATGGTAGCATCTTCTCTTTCAATACAGAGCAGTACATCTGTGAATTTATGATATCATCAATGAAATGCAGCTCAGTGACACCAGCAGCACTCATGCAGCCCCACAGAAAGACACTACCACCATAATTTTTCACTGTAGGCACCATGCATTTTTCTTTGTACTCCTCATCTTTGCTACACCATACAGTTTTGAAGCTATCCAATGCAAAAACATTTATCTTGGTCTCATCACTCCAGAGTACAGAGTCCCAGTAGTCTTCTTCTTTTTCAGCATGGGTCCTGGCAAATTCTAGGAGGGTTTTTTTGTGCATAGGCTTTAGGAGAGACTTCCTGCATGGATGACACCCATGCATGCAAATCCACTGCAGTGTACACCATATTGTGTCATTGGAAACAATCACCCAAGTTTGGGTTTCTACTTTTTTACCTAACTGCAGTGAACTTGCATGGCGATTTTATTCATCCCTTCTCATCAGAAGATGCTCCTGTGGATGTGTTAACTTCGATGGACAGCCTGGACATCTCTGTGAGATGGTTGCAGTCCCATCTTTGTTATAATTATGTATCACTTTTGTTACAGTATTCTGACTGAAAAGAAAAGCTTTGATCTTCTTGTAGCCTTCACCTTTCTTTTGTAATGAAATAATTTTCTTTCTCAGGTCTTGTGACTAGAGATGAGCAAATCGAAGTAGGCGAAGTGGAATTCGTTTCGAATATTAGGAAAAATTTCGATTCGCGTCGAATCCGAAAATAAGCAGACTTCGGATGCGCGAATCGAATTTTTTCCTAAAATGGCGGCGACATGTGCGGCGACGGAGCGGGATGTCTGGGAAGGCGCGTAGACAAGGCGCGCTGACCCATAATGCATTCATTCATGACATGTGATCGCATTAGCCAATCAGCAGCCAGCCAGCCAGCACAGTGTAATGGTCGAGCTATAAATGGCGGCCATTTTAGAATTCTCCATTTGCCTCCAGTCATTCAACAGAGGCAGACCTGGCTGTATTCAGGGAGAGAGTTAGGGACAGAGAAACGTTACTTAGGGACACAGAAACGTTAGTTAGGGCCACAGAATCGTTACTTAGGGCCACAGAAACGTTACTTAGGGACACAGAATTGTTACTCAGGGACAGACAGAATTGTTACTGAGGGATACAGAATTGTTACTGAGGGCCACAGAATCGTTACTTAGGGCCACAGAAACGTTACTTAGGGCCACAGAATTGTTACTTAGGGACAGACACAGAATTGTTACTGAGGGACACAGATTTGTTACTGAGGGCCACAGAATCGTTACTTAGGGCCACAGAAACGTTACTTAGGGCCACAGAAACGTTACTTAGGGCCACAGAATTGTTACTTAGGGACAGACACAGAATTGTTATTGAGGGACACAGAATTGTTACTGAGGGCCACAGAACAATTACTTAGGGCCACAGAAACGTTACTTAGGGCCACAGAAACGTTACTTAGGGCCACAGAATTGTTACTTAGGGACAGACACAGAATTGTTATTGAGGGACACAGATTTGTTACTGAGGGCCACAGAAACATTACTTAGGGCCACAGAAACGTTACTTAGGGCCACAGAAACGTTACTTAGGGCCACAGAATTGTTACTTAGGGACAGACACAGAATTGTTACTGAGGGACACAGAATTGTTACTGAGGGCCACAGAACAATTACTTAGGGCCACAGAAACGTTACTTAGGGCCACAGAATTGTTACTTAGGGACAGACACAGAATTGTTACTGAGAGACACAGATTTGTTACTGAGGGCAACAGAAACGTTACTTAGGGCCACAGAAACGTTACTTAGGGCCACAGAATCGTTACTTAGGGCCACAGAAACGTTACTTAGGGCCACAGAAACGTTACTTAGGGCCACAGATTTGTTACTTAGGGACAGACACAGAATTGTTACTGAGGGACACAGAATTGTTACTGAGGGCCACAGAACCGTTACTTATGTCATGGAAATTTTGTATTGTTGGTCGAACTTTAAATGTGTCATATATTCGTGTTATTCATATGTCTCTCGTGTGGCTTAATTAAAGCTCTGAAGGCTGCAATTGGGCCATGCGCATGTACAATGTATGTATTACAGTACTCAGCTTGGTAATGGATGAGATGGCAGATCTGCGCTTATAGACCGGCGTGTATACCACCACGGCATTCGATGCGAATGTCGCTGGCAGTAGACCGCGGGCCTGTATCCACATATCAGCAGCATAGTACCACGTGGGCTTCATAACGCAAGGCGCCAAGCGGTACGAACTCCGCGTGTAGGCTCATGTATATCTTACAACCCATTACCAATCTGAACTGTATCTTGGATGGATGTGTTTTAATAAAGATCGTATCGGGCCCATCCAGGTACAGACTGATATTTTTAGGGAATGCTTGTGCAGAGAATGGACATACCAATAGAAGCTAGTAGGACAGGAAATATGACCTCAGATGGCTCATGGGGGGGAAGGGGAGGAAGTCTGCTGACCTCAGAAGACTCATGGGGGAGGACCAGTGATAGATAATAGGAAAGGCTATGCTCCAATTGGAATATACATCCTGTGTATAGGCACTCCCCATTGCATTGTTTGGTGGGAGGGGATTGACTTTATTCATGTGGGGGGCATGTGTGTATTTTTAATAAAACAGAGAGCTGGGTCTAAAACCAGCCCTTATGTGAGTTGCAACATCATCCTGAGAGTGTCGTTTGATCATTCTAGGGTAACAGAGCTCTAATTCCCCCACATCTCAACAGAGCCAAAGTATTTGGATGGGCAGGAATCGTGTAGTTTAGCTGCAGTCGTGGTAAGCAAGATTCGCACAGCTTTATGGGGGATTTCTGCGCATCCAACTGCGAGTACTCACGGTAAGGAGAAATTCGTTAAAGCGAATTTCCAAGACACTTAGGGCCACAGAAACGTTACTTAGGGAAACAGAATTGTTACTCAGGGACAGACACAGAATTGTTACTGAGGGATACAGAATTGTTACTGAGGGACACAGAACCGTTACTTAGGGCCACAGAAATGTTACTTAGGGCCACAGAATTGTTACTTAGGGACAGACACAGAATTGTTTACTGAGGGACACGAGATTGTTACTGAGGGCCACCTTGTATTTAGGGCCACAGAATTGTTACTTAGGCCCAACGCGAATCGTTAACTTATATGGCCACAGAAACCGTTACCTTAGGCCACAGAAAACGTTCCTTAGGGCCAGAAAAGTTTAAATTGGGCCACAGAATTGTTACTTTGGGACAGACACAGAATTGT